TCTCGCTCGATGCACTCGTAAAGATCAGAGAATGTTTCGAGAGAAGTGTTATGCACCCGTCTCCGCGCTTTGCTTCTTCTACTTTGATGTCAAAAGTAGCCGTGCCCAGTTTTCGATCGTGGATATATTTGAGATCTGAAATCTCCACTCGTTTCAATCATTCGAACGAGTCTAACTGCTTCCAGAAAATAGTAGGTTCCAACAATTTCAAGCGAATGTCATTTTAGCAAAATCCTCGCTTCTTCAAATTTCTAACGAAAATATCGGATATTATTACGGGCTCCTGTTAATTCTTAAAATGGGGCTCTTTTAGAAAAGAAAAGAATCGCAGACTAAAATTTGATCGATGGAAATAAGAATTACAAAGACGCCCGTAACTTTGTCATTTTTCAATTAATAAGGGAACACGCGGATTTTTGACGAAATTTGGCGTAAATGTAGTTTTCGAAAAAATATTCGACGCCTATCTTTTTTTTCATCGACAATCGTCACAATGATAAAGTGAAAATTACCCTCAAATTTGAAGATGCAGAATATACGTAATTCGGAAATTATTGAAGATAGATTTTTTTGTGTAAATGGACGAAAATTATTATTTCTCAACGACAAATTTAATCGCGTGTACCAATTTGCAAAAAAAAAAACAAAATTTGTTTAACCAATAAATTTAAAAAAAAACTTCTATTTCTTACAAATTTCTTCAAGTAAATCTCAACGTATGTTCTCGAATATTTTATAAAAATATATTTTATTTTGAAAAATACATTCAAACGCAATAATTTATAGTTTCGTGTTATAAATTGGACTCTTGATTTTTGCATTACAAAGAAACGAATTATTTTCAAATGTTTCTCGAAAGAATACAAAATCCAAGAAAATCCAAAGCGAGACAAGATCTATATCTATGATATTTTTTCAGACACGGGTCCAAAATATCGCTCCAGTTGCAACTGCCTATCGCAATTACGTCGCGTTGCTAGCAGGGCGTGAAACGTCTCGAGAAGTTTAACATAATCGGTTGTCAAGATCGCTGACGGAGCGACGAACGCGATACGATATGACGACGACGACGGGTTTATTCAGCGATCGATTTCGAGAATCGCGTATTATTTGCGCTTGACGGGGCTATCATCGAGCGGAACAACAATTTTCTCGTTTAATCGCGGCTCATCACGAGATGCGCTCTGCCTACGCACGCCTGTCCGTGAAAGTCACGATAATAGCTGTCAGTGACTCACTTAAGGTCAGCTCTCGGAAAGTGGCGCGATAAAGAGTCAAGAAGACCAGCCGCGAGTCGACGGACTCGTGAAAATCATCGTCGATCCGCGAAACTCTCGAGCAATGTTGCTAAGATTGATTAAAGTTCGATCAAATTTTGTAGTTAATCGAGTATCTTCGAGTCAAAAATGTTTCTGGATAAAGTCCCGTGTTTCTAAACTAAATGAATAAATTCGAAATTTATTACTAGAATTATAGTATAGTAGCAATTTTATTATTAGATTATTTTCGTGACTGAAAGATCCACGTTTGAGAAAAGATCCACGTTACGATCGCTTGTAACGGGCTGTGCAGTATTCTCGCGTTTGTATAATAACATCGTAATGAAGGGAAACTGCATCGGCCGAAAACGCGAGAATGAAGCTGCTTATTTACGATATCACGAACGAGATACGGGTGGAAAATGGCAGATCTAGCCGAACGATTGGCAAGAGCGGCTAATATCGCTCGTTCTACACCCACGCGTCACGTCGAGGATGCCCGACGGATAAATGCCATTCCATAGAATACGTTCCTCTTATCAGTATCAACGACCGACCGTTCGATTCCCCGTCGAACATTGATCTGCACTCTTTCCACCCGCGAAACAAAGAGAGAGAGGACAAAGAAACGAGTAGAAGGAGAAAAGAAAAAAAAAAAAAAACAGAAGAAA